TTTTTTTTTTAACTTCAGCAGGTATAAAAAGAATAACATATTAAATTATAAACGTATTTGAGAAAATTATTTCTAGATAGTTTTTCTTAATAATTGACACGAATTAAGATATATCTAATCTTAATTCGTGGTATTTGATACTGAAAAATGATTTAATGACAATTATTAATAGCCTGAATTACAGCAACTGTACATACGTATGACTGTAGAAATTGATACTTGTCCAATTTTAAGGCGCAATTCTATTTCTTGTTGTAATATTATAAGTATTATAATTCACGTATATAAATTATAAACTCGGAAGGAAAAGTAAATGCATTTCTATCCCTCAACAAACAAAACATAGATTGTTCATTATAAATTTTTTTGTTTGCCAATGTATAGTATAAAATAATACACTACAAAATAAAAATATTACATTATAATTTATAATAACTGTAACAAGTTGAACTGCCAAATAATATTAAGAACTGTATACATGCTTTTTTATTTTTAACGAGATTCTTAAAAATTACTTATATATTACATTTTTTTTTTTTTTATTACCTCGCTGCGTGATGTGGTTGTAATGGGTAGTTTTTACCGAATCCTACAACGTAGCTTTGTCCTCCGTCTCCCAATATGTAGTGTATCTGTTCTTTGGCGAATTCTCGGTATTGCGTTGGCATTATACCAATATCTGCAGCCTACATAAGGAAAGAAATATGGAAAGAAAAATACTAGATATTCAATACCTATAAGTATAGTGGGATGGATTTTTCCATCCTAAACACTGGTATCCATACCCTCAAGCACAAGAACACAATGTTTGCTGCGTGRCACAGTGTACCGGATTTTTCAATGTACAGCAATCCTTTTGGAGTTTTCTTCTGAACGTATAAATTATAGTTGCAGAAATTTTGAATTGCTTCGGTGTACTCAGATTGATTAGTTAGTTCGGCTAGAAGGGCCTGGAATAAATGTTGCAGATTTGGACTTATTCAGCTATCGGTACTTAAGTATTATCATTTAGCAATATAATATAATTGTTTTAATTATTTTATGTGTTGGGGATTTGATGCTGACCGTTTCTTTGAATTGATCATGCTCAATGACTGTTTGTACGACTCTTGTCGTTCTCTTAAATTTGATTGTACAGCACAGGGCTACCCAAACTACTACCCGTGAAAAAGTTAACACCAYCCACCCCCAAATTACAGTAAATATGACTAATAACAATCATAAACATATCTGAAATACGTATTGCCCCATTAATTCCATGGATATGGTTATAGGATCAACAATAATTGTTTCATTTTTTCGTGTAAAATGTAATGATATTTTAAAACGTATCGATTAATTTTCGGCGTGCAAATCGTGTGTCGTATAATATGATATAAAATATTAATATAAAATGTATAATTAGATAGCTGTATGGATTCTGCACCTGTACGCCTGCGACCTTTTTGTTATAGTAAAATTCGTTTGGCCGTTCTTTGAGTCTGTACTTCATGTACATGTATTCGGCGTCGTCCAAATACTGTGATTCCTTTGTCGCCTTGTACAGCCAAGCTGCGGCCCACGTCAATTCGTCACCGTAATCTGTCGATCTGTTAAAAAAAAAAGAACAGAATTTCACATTTGAGTTGTTGGATCACATTAAGACACTTCCGATCGAAAAGATAATCCGGGAATGTGTTTATCGTTATAAATTATTTACTCGTAGTATTGGGCCGCCCCTTTGATAGCRTCGTGATACAGTCCTCTGTACTGAGTGGCAAACATGTACAGCTGCTTAGCGTGACTCAAGCAACTGGCTGAAAAATTGGAATCGATTTTGTTGAACACTATCGATACTGCAGACAAAGCGGCGGACGTCTCGCCGGCYAAATCAGAACCTGGGTAATTGAGTAAATAACTTTGGTATCAACCACGAAACGTATAAAGTATATTGTATAGTATATAAAGGGGTCACCAAATGGTTGCTCACGGKRAAATTCGCACACGTGATCGATGTATATTATAATATACCTGGTCGATTTTTGTCGATTTTGTATGACGGCCTAGACATGTTCATGTCTTCGGGTCGACCCCAGAAACCTTGGTCCAGACTGAAGTCGCCTACCTGTCCGTAGAACTCATAGTCGCTAACGTGACACTTGATAAAGTACTCTGCGGCCCAGCGTATCGAGCCTAATGCGTTTTCCCATTCGTCTACATTAAATCATTAAATTATTTGAGATAAAAAAATCTGTTGATGATAAAGTCTTTAGAAATTATTTTGGTTATTATGCATTAGAGTATTTAGATAATATTGTTGATACTGATGTATTGGCACGTAAAATATCTGAATAATATCCTCAACTGTAGTTTGTTTAGAAAATATAATTAGGTATAAGTATATATTTTGTAGAAACACAAAAAAMATTATACTTACTAACTTCCTCGTATGCGTCTTTATAACTCAAGTATCCCCATGCCAAAATAGTTGTAGTGCTTGCCATTGTGAAGCCAAATTTTACAAAATCCCCAGCTAAAATAATAATAGTATTATTTAATATAATAGTCATTAATTGTTGTTCATCATTACATAAAATATTATAAATTACCTAACAAATCATTTAGCGATTTCAATTAACAAATCTCTTAGATAAAGGTATATTGTATTTAAATAATAATATACTAACTCAAATTAATTGATTAATCAATACTATCTAGTACCTATAATATTATTTTTTTAAGTAAACAATATCTAAAGCCATTATATTTCTAATTATTAATGATTATTAGGGATAGGATTTTAAATCAAATGATTTTTTTTTTTAATATAAGATAAAAATTTAATTTTTACACATAAATCCGTTCACGTCATTCTCATTCCAAATAAACCAATTTATTTTGGCTTTTTTTCGTGTAAATGCTTTTTTATTACTTTTTACGGTTATTTCGGTATTATGTTATGTTTATTATGCTATAGTAGTAAAAAAAAATAATTTAATTAATACAAAAATCCAGAATACGCAATACGGACTAAATGATTATATTACATGGTTTTCTATATATGTATAMAATATTATGTCAGACAATAGAATCAGTTTTACCACTGAAAATCTTGTTAAATATATGATGGTGACTAGTGAATTCTTTTTTTAAATTTAAATTCATTTTTCAATATTTTTTTTTAATCAGTTTTACAACTAATTTTTGGTCATGCTTTATTTTTGCTTTTGTTTTTAATAAATATGCTTCATTTTTACTTTTTTGTTATTTATTATGCTTTAAAATCCGAGCCCTAATGATTATAAATT